AGTCCTGCTCGTGTCCCTGGGTGCTGGCTGCGCCGCCGGGGCTTGCTGCGGTGCACGGGCTGCGGGACAGGGATCGGGGGGAGGGTGCCCAGGGCAAGCGGGTGGGAGGTGGTTGTCATTGTGCTTTAAGCAGGAGGCACAACAAGAGGTGGTTGGGTGAGTGTAAGGGGACAGAAGGGAGAGTGGGTTGGAGGAGAAGAAAGAGATAAAGTGGTGTGGAGAAAACTCCAGGCAACTGTTGGAGGTAGCGACAGTGACCAGCTGGGCAGTGGGGACGTCCCTCGGAACGGAGGGGCAGCACTTGAGTCTCGGGGTTGAGCTTTTGCCAGATGTCTCTAGTGAGGCTGCCCTGCGACAGCGTGGGGAGGCGTCTGGGAAGGGCTGGCACGTGCAAATCCGGGCTGCACCCGTGGGTGGGTGTTCAACGGAGCCCCCGAGCCAGGGCACCACGTCCCTGCACGGATGACGCCTGTGGCCTGTGCAGCTCCCCCACGCCTCTCCCCACCCTGCTCCTGGTGCGTGGGCTCTGCTGGGCAGAGGCAGCTCGAGCTGCATCTGCAGCGGGGATGGGTGCTGGCGCGGGGTGGTCCTCACCGTGCCGGGCTGGGGAGCTGCCCTGGCTGCGGCCGTACGGAGACAAGTTACCTGCGGTTACCTTATCGGCACAGTGTTCTCTGTAGTACAGAGCAACAGTGGTGGAAGAGGGGGGGTGTGTGTGTGTATATATATGTAGAAAGCACAGAGGAGCACTGGGGGATGAGTTGCCTCATGCTGCACCTGGTGGCTGCAGAGCAGGGGTGAGCAGCCCCTGGCCCCCGCTGTGGGGGTGGGTGGAAGCTCAGGTGTGTCCCGTTTAGGTATGAGACATGTAGAAATGGAGATGCTGTGCCGTCGTACCTCACAGCGTTCACTTCAGGGTCTGAGATGATGGTGTTAAATAACTTCTTTTTTGCGATTTTTGTGCGTGAGAGTGGACTTTGCTCTCTTGGCGTTGCAGGGTGTCCCGGGGCAGGCGGTGAGTTCCGTGGTCCGGGCTGCGCTGCGTTTGCCCGGCCACCTCGGGACCGCGCTGCTGGGCTGCACCCTGGCCTACGTCCTCCACCGCGCGCTGTCAGAGTGAACGGGGGAGAGGAGAGATGGTAAAGGAGAGGGCTGGGAGCGGGCGAGACCTGATCCCCACGGTTTCTTTGTGCCTGGTGCCTTGCACCCGCCACCCAGCCCGCAGCCCCTTCCTCCCCGGCTGTGCGACGTGGGGACCGGCCGCGCAGAGGAAAGCGGAGCTCGTTTCTGCTGGGCTCTGTGCAGGTGGAGGGGTGCCTTCACCTCCCTGCCGTGGGGAGAGGAGTCGCTGGCCAGGCCCCCCCGGGAGAGGGTGTTGGGGAGACCTGTGTAGCTCCACAGCCCCGGCACCCTTGGGCAGAAACCTTCCTGCCTGCCGGGGCTGCTGGCAGCAAAGCAAGCAACTGGTTACTTTTATCTGCAACCACTGTCAAATTTTGTATGAATTGCTGACCCTAATAAATGAGGTCTGGTGGACTCTTGCTTGGTGTTCGTTACTGGATGGGCAGAGGGGACAGCATGGGGCTGTCAGGGCAGCCGTGGTCCCTGGCACGGGCTGGCTCTCGGTGTGAGCTCGGGGCTGCAGCTCCCACTTACCCCGGTGCAGGTCTGCCTGCAGCTCGGTAATGCCTGGAGCCAGCAGCAAACTGGTGCCTGTGCGCCGTGGGTGCAGTGCCGGGCACCTCCAGAAATCTGACCCTCGATGGCTTGTTTCCTCCAAAACCTCTTTACCTTGAGCTGGGGCTCAGGGGGCTGGAGGAGAGGTGGCCATGGCGCAGCGGATAGCCTGGCAGCCGTTCAAAGGGAGTAGCGGCGAAGAGAAACTTTCCTGTAACTGGCACACTGGCATCGCGGTCCAGTTTGGGCTCTGTTACTATGGTGACTACAGTAATTAGAATATGGGTATAGATTTATTTTTTTTAACTTGTGCATTTCACTGCTGCTTTTCATAGCGTGTGCCAGACTTTCAAAAGATCTCGTGGTCGTATTTGTAAGTGCTTGGGCAACAACAGAGAGAAGGCTTTAAAAATAGCTCAGGTCTTGTTTAAGCACCCAGACAAGCGTTCGGATCTGCAGAAGGTCTCTGCCTCCGGTATGCGCAGCTCTGCTTGCAGCAGTTGGAGTCAAAACAGGTTACAGCAGTGCTCTTCCCTGCTTTTGCTGCCGGCGTTCTCAGATCCTGGCTTTTGGTCCTTCCCCAGGGGATGCAGAGAGCTCTGCGGGGGCTATGAGTGCCGGCGTGTCCAGGCCCAACGCAGCACGTCTCCCGGCTCTGCTGCGGAGGTGGGTCGGACTCGGTGCCTCTTCTCCGTTGTGCCCCGGCAAGGCACGGCTGGCCGTGGGCATCCCTTGGCGCATGGAGCTCTGGCGATGCTCCAGCGCTCTGGAGCAGCCAGAGGGAACAAGGGCAAGAGGCCTCACGCTGGGCAGCTCCCTTCCATGAAAACCAGCCCGTGCCAAAAGGGACATGGATGTTTCAGGGCAGCTGGGAACAGGCTGTGGTTTGCCGAGCGAGCGAGGTGCCTAAGGCTGCGTGGGAAACGCAGCCTTCTGCCTGGCTGGGAGGAGGCCGTGGGCGCCTTGGCCAAGGGGTGGGATTGCAGGAGGAGTTTGGCGCAGCGGCAGCCGCGGGCGTTCAGTTGCTGG